AAAATATTAATAATGATTTTATTCTAATTATTTTCCTTTAGAAAACTCGTCCAAGTTGTAAATAACATACTTGCAGAACACCGTAAACATAATCTGACTTCGACTTGTAAATATTTTTTTTTTTTTTTTACAAATGAAATCTTTTATTTATTGCAAAAAATGCGAATGAGTTTCTTTAACGAGATTATAATCTTAGATATTAAAGAAATCGGTCCCGATTTATTTCTCACAATCTTATCAATGGTCCTTTTGTTTGCTTTTTGCATTTATGGAATTTTAAAAAGCGAAATATATCAAATTCGTTTCACCACAACTTTGATTGAAGCAATTTTGATATTATTGATATGTATATTTAATGTATTTATCTATATTAAGGAGAAACAACTGGGGTTAAACGAGATTCATGAACGTGCCCAACATATAGTAGATCAACTGAAGCAGAGTGACATGAACACTATGCAGGTACATCACATTCGCATGAATGATTTTATTGATCTATCGATCTATTGATTCATATTTATATTTATATAGAACATTAAAATTCCATTCGTTCCTTCACTCACGGTAGCAAAAGTCGTCCGTGATGGAGTTGTTCGTAGTTTCCCTACGACTTTATTAGTAGAAGGTGACGTTGTTGAAATGTTATATGGTGATGTGGCACCATGTAAGATGATGTTAATACAAAAGGGACCCCCCTCGAATGTGTCGTCTAATAATATCTTGGAAGCTAGTCATGTATTTAAACCGTCATTTTTCAATGATATGACATCAAAAGAAGTATGGGAACAACATGTTCAAAATAGGGGAAGATATCAATTTGTTCTCTTGGAAACTCCTTGGGCAAACAGTTTGAAAGCTGCATTGGTTCAAGACAGACCTGCTACAATTATTTATAAACAAGCAGATGTTTTACGAAAATTCTTTTATCGAATACTTATCATTGTGCTTGGACTGGCTGTTGGGATCAACCTTTTAAGGTTTATCTTAAAAGAGGCTATCTCAGAAAATGGACATTTGGATCAAGCTTTTGAACTTTTGGTGGTGTTTCCTATTTATGCTATACTCCCAATAATACCATTGCCTTTTCCTACGCTTTGGCTGATTGTTCGTAGTTTTGCGAACGCTACGCTGCTTGTATTATTTGAAACTTTGCAAATTTCGGATACCGGATATGAAGATGATGATGAAGTGGATGAATTTGATGCTGAGGCTCCTCCACCAACAAAAAATGTGCACATTGACAGCGGTATTCATAGCTTTGATCCTTGTACTTTGTCTGATCCTTGTATATTTTTAACTAATTAATCAATTATTAGGTGCGTTATGGAATAAGTTCAGATATTTACTCACGAAATGGGATGGAACGTCACTAACAAGATCAACGAATTTGTTCGAGTCGCTTGGAAGCACTACAATTATTTGTTCAATTGATCGAGAAGGGACAATTTCATCTGTAAATATTAATGTCGTTTTAAGATAAAAAATTTTCTCAAGTTTTGATTTACTCATCACTTGAACATCCGAATTCCATAGCCGTTTGCCTCGGTTGATCAAATATATTTCCCTAAAGCTAATGAAGATCCTACTCTACTTGATATCGCTGAAGATCCGAGCACCGAATTTGGTGTTAAATTTGAAGATCAAGATTGGAATCAGCATTTATCGTATATCGATATCTTTACTTTGAAAATTTTAAAATAGAGTTTTTTTTTTTTTTTTTTTTAAATTAAAAAAAAACTTTTAAATATAATTTCAGTCGGTTAAAACCTTTGGGACTCAATCTTCTATTAAACACTAATTGTGGTGTTTTAAGAGGTCGAAAACGCGAACATCAGCATCGTAAATATTCAAGTTTTTGCATTAATGCAAAGACAAAGCCAGCACGACAATGTAAGTCGAACTACGTTTTTTTATTCAAGTTCTGTCATTCATTATTCAGCATCTAAACGTTAAATTTTCATCTTTAGCGTGTTTGTGTCGCCTAGGTAGAGAAATTGGCTTTACGGATGATGCGCTAAATGCATTTGCAAAGAAAAAAGAGATTTTTACCATTGCCCCATGTCATCCTTCATTACAGGAACGAATTAGAAATGACCAGTGGGAAGTGCCCAGTATGGTTTCGTCTATTTATGAAGAAGAAGGACAAAGTATACATTTATTCTTAAATTTTCACGAATAATTTTTCATATCTTAACTTTATTTGTTTTTCAGGCGGATATCAATTGCTTTCTGATGGCAACACTGAAATTATACTTGATAACTGTTCTGATTATTGGGATGGTCAAAGATTGCAAGCCATGAGCGAAGAGGTGAAATATAGCACCTTGTAATGAAACTTTATCCTATTAGATATTTTCTTTGCTAACATAAATTTGATTCGTATTTTCTAGATTGAGAATAAGATTTATGATTTTTATGAGAATTCCGTAATAAATGATATGCAATGTATCGCATACGCGTATCGACCTATAAATGTTGAAAATCTCAAAAGAATTCCATTTTTGATGGATTCCCCTAATGATTCAATTGGAAGCTACATTGTTTTACCATGCCCTCCTGAAATCGATCAAATAGTTGAGGAAGAAGAAAATGATGATCGTGACCTTTCTTTATCACAGAAAGTTAGGCTTAAAAGATTGAAGGCCGATCAGTTGGAAGCTAAGCTGCATGATTTTTTGTTTGATGAGAGTGCACTTACGTTACAAGACGAGGAGACATTTTATCATGAAGTCATTCAGGGGCAGATTTTTCTGGCGATGGCCACACTTTGTCACCAGCCTAAATTGGTATTGTTAGAAAAAAAAAAAAAAATTACGTATTTCGTAAAATTTTAATTATTTAGTAAAACAACCATTATTAATTATGCATTTG